GGAGACCTCATTGTTGTCCAATAACAAAACAATTGAATCTGCAAAGGAAGTAACTTGACAAATCTACACATGTGCTTTAATGTGCACTAGCTTATTTCAATGTACATTAAAGCATCACTAAAATAATGTGCTCTTTAGTTAATGCACATTAAAATAGGCTAATGCACATTTTCCTAGTACCTCACAATGGAGGTAGTAGATTTAATGTGCATTAACTAAAGCACATTAATGCATGTGTAGATGCACCCTCTGCTCCTATTACCTAATTACACATGCAGACTCTATCCCATTCTACTAGACACCGATCTATACAGTGATCTATGCATTCATGAGCTCCATGCTCAACTATTGCAATTCATTGTACCTAGGAATGTAGTTACAGATGCTGAAGGCATAGAGAGACATGATAATGAGAATGGGGGCGGTGGGGGGTTGGAAAGATTTAGCATGACTTACTTTAAGCAGAGTAATGGTTTAATTTGTATACTCTGCTCCATAAATGAAAGCTAAACCAGTGAAATTTCCCACCTGTTTCATTCAAGAGGAAATCATTGTGGTTTGGCTTCTGTTACTGCAGGATAAGAGCAGACAAATTAAACAGTTATAATGGATCAGCTGACATGCACTTAGGGACTGGTATGTCTCTGCAGTGCTGTAATTAGTATAACCAATTGCCAGTCCGCATCCTTAAGAAGATCCTGCCAGTACAGAAAGGCTGGACATGGGAGACAGTCTGCTAAGTAACATCAGCTTTCACTATGTATTTAACTCTCTGCTCCTGCTCCGCACTGACTAGAGAGATCAACTTAATATCTGTCCTGATGTTACAAGACTTCAGAGAATAATGAAGATGTTGACCCAAAGAGGCACATTTGGGAGTATAGGAGACCGAACTACCTTTGGATCTATGCCTAAACTGGTGACCTGCCATTAGAGGAGGCAAGGTTGATCAGGAACCTCCCTGCATTTACTTTGCCTGGTGATAGACAAATATGATACCTACATTTTAACCTCCATACTTGATTCACCAAGAGAAAATGGATGCAAAACATTCTTAAATCATCACTAATATGCCCCCTTTTGCATGTGTGTATACCACTAGACAACGAGGAGACGTTACAACACCTTTCAACTCTCTTGTGAAATATGAATTTTCATTTCCACCTAAGAGAAATTTTACAATTTTGCACTCTCCTTAGCCTGAAGAAGAGCACATGTGCCCAAAAGCTTGCAAATAAAGATTTTTTTTTGCAAGTATCTAGTTGGTCTAATAAAAGATATCACCTCGATCAAGAGTTCTGATTCCTTTTACCGTTAGACAAAACATAGTAAAACAGAAGGTCAAGTCTTTCTTATGCATACACATACACACAGCAGACAAAATCACCAGTTGCACAATTAATGAGTAATAGCTTTTCAATTATATCTTAGAAAGACATGTAAATCCCCAGTGGACATGTTAATGGGGGTTACATGTGCATAAGAGAGAACAAAGCATTGCATGTTGATCTGATTTCTAATGTTGGGTTGTAAACCATTTCCATGGGAATATTTTATTTGCATCCACAACAGGACTACTTGTTTGCCTGTGAAATTAGACTGTTGAATACCTTGCAGTAGAAAAAGGATTGGCTGGCTCCACTTGCAGCACAGCCACTTGATTTGCACCGCTTGCGAATGCTATCCTTTTTATCCCATCTTCTACTCTCTTAAAGGCTGAAAGCTTGCTCCAAGTCCACAGCATGGGTCCAAATCAATTTTGCTGGAAAGGACAAAGGTGCAAGCATAGCCAAGGCCACCAAGCTAGATTTCTCGTAGGAAACTTGTCAGGAGAGTTTCTCAGGGAATAAAGTGCAAACAGAGCCAGAGACAGTGATAAATTTCCCTTCTGAACAATCAATAAAACTCCCTCAATCCTGCTCAGGCTCTTACTGTGGACGCAAGGGCCATAATTACATTGTCAAAAACTCAAAATCACCCCAGCTGACTGCGACCCCCTTTAAAACTGACACATGATTGGCAGGCAGTTTACGGGTGGCGCACTCTGATTGGCAGGGGAGTTGGCAAAAGCCAAAGGCAACAGTGAAATTTCCCAATCTTCTGCGACCACCGGAGCACAGGACTGCCACTCACAGGGAATTCTGGGAAACCCTTCGTCATATTAACATATCAAAGAGAGCAGCTGACAGCGCTTACTAAACAATGTGAACTCAACCATAGCTGTGCAACATTTTCCAAACTTTCCAATCTGCAAAAGAAAAGAAATTAAATTGCACTCCATCCTGTCTTCGCCGAGACAGCTGAGAATTTAAAAGCTGCTTATTTAATGATTTTGATCTGTGATAACATTATATGGATATGTGTATGTGTGTGTGTATATATATATATATATATATATATATATAAAAAGAGATGGTTGACGTGCTCTCCAATTTGTTCTATGCCACAGGCCAGACTGGAGCTAAATTGGAACCAGAACAACGTATTTCTGTTTGATCTAAGCAGTATGAAGCCAGCAAGAGAATACACTCCTTCCGGTCTTATTTTCTAGCGGGCTTCCACTCTTTTAGTGCTAAATTGTGGATTACATGGTTTCAATGAAGCTTAATTGTAGCCATGCACTGGGTCCATACGTTACAAAGAGTTTATAAGTGAGTTTGTGGCAAGTCTGGATTTTGTGCATCAGTGATAAGAAATTGAAACTCAGAGTCGTTTCTGCTGATGGGCCACACCAACTTTACCTTCACCTTGCTCTGCACAGCAAATGCATTGTAGCCTCCTATCTATCCCCTCCTGCTGTCACCACAACTATAAAATTGTAAGAAACAATGAGTCTAAATATAAATAATGCCAAACACATGAGCTTTTGATACATTCAAACCACTTCCATTCAGTGGGACTACTTAAGACAAGCAGGTTTGCCTGGAAATTAGACAATAGCCAACCACGGAGGCAATCACTATCACTGTTTTGTGATCGCAATGCTGTGAAGCAATCAGAATTTAGCCCTTAGATTGCAAATTCTTACTTGTTTTTGGCTTGAAAGTAGCACCACTAAGAATTATATCATTGTATAAATATTAAAGCACAATAAATGAAAAGAGGAAGGCCAGAGCAGGAGGTGGGATTCTACCTAGGGCCTCTGAAAATTAATTTAATTTCTTGTTCTATAAGGATCCTGCCGAGATCTTGGGGAAATAATTTCTCCTTAGCTGGTATAGTATGTTGTGCTATCAGGGGAGTTAGGCCAATAACCCCAGTACCAAAACCCAAGAAAAAAGGAGCCACGTGTTAAGTAGCAGTACAGAAGGCCCCTAGAAGACAGTCCTTGCTCAGTCAGGCAAGGAGATTAATTTCCTCATTCCTATCAATCACTGATCTTAGACAGATTTTCAGACAAGAACAAGTTCAGGTCCCTGTCTGAAAAAGTCTACAGCCAAGAGTCAAATCCAGATAGTTTTATACAGTCAAAATTGAGGCCTGAGAAAAAGCAGAGCCACTGGCACAGCTGTTTGGGCACTCTTGGTGCTCAGCTCAGGTCCCAGAGGACTGGAAAAGGGCCAATGTGGTCCCTATTTTCAAGAAGGGGAGGAAGGAGGATCCAAGTAACTATAGACCGGTTAGTCCCACCTCTATCCTCGGGAAAACCTTTGAAAAAATTATTAAGGATCACATTTATGGGAGTCCAGTGGGGAAAGCAATGCTAAAGGGCAACCAGCATGGATTCATAGCAGGTAGATCCTGCCTGATAACCTTGTTTCTTTTTATGACTAGGTCACAAAATGCTTAGACGCAGGAATCGAGGTAGATGTCATCTACTTGGATTTTAAGAAGGCCTTTCATACAGTATCTTATCTTATTCATACAGATAAACTGAGCGGCTGTCACATAGATCATTACACCGTCAGGTGGGTGGCAAATTGGCTTAGGGGCTGCACCCAGAGAGTGGTGGTGGATGGGTTGGCATCGACCTAGAAAGATTTGGGCAGTGGCGTCCCTGTTCAATGTCTTCATCAGTGACTTGGATGAGGGTGTGGAAAGCACTCTGTCCAAATTCGAAGATGATATCAAATTATGGGATAAAGTTAACACACTAGAGGGTAGCGAATGAATCCAGGCAGATCTGGACAGGTTGGAAAAATGGGCAGAACAGAATAAGATGCAGTTCAATAAGGACAAGTGCAAGGTGCTGCACCTAGGAAGAAGGAATCACCAACACACTGGGCTAGGGAAGGACATTCTCAGCAGCACAGCAGTGGAAAGGATTTTGGGGTCACTGCTGACTCCAAGATGAACATGAGTCATCAATGTGATGAAGTGATCAATAAAGCTAACCGCACTTTATCATGCATTAGGAGGTGCATGACAAACAGGTCCAAGGAGGTGGTACTTCCCTTTTATGCGTGATCAAAGGCTACCCTGCCACTGGTTGCTCTAAGGTATTTCTCTGATAAGACTGTACCCTGTACCCTATTCCAATCCTACTCCTTGTAACCAATAAAGTCCTCCTCTGTACCTAGCATGGGAAACTTATTGGGAGAGGATCTAGATTATGCCTTGGGGTCCCCTTGGTTTGGCTGACTAACGGACCACCATTTGTGCTTCAGACTGAGGGAAGCACCCCAAGTTCTTGCAGTGGGTCAAGTACCCCTCAAGGACTACTAGGGATGTGTTTCCCATGGGGCACAGGGCCAAAATCAGTCCAGACCCTGGGTGGTGGCAGGCTTGCAGGTGTGCTCCAGGAAGGGGGTCAGCCAGATGTGAGGCACCCCCAGGGAGGGATCAGGAGCCTGGAAGGTGGTCAGAAGCAGTGAGGCGGGTGGCTCAGTGCAGGAGCACCCCGTACTGTCCCACCACACCATCTATTATATTAGCCACTGACATGGACTAAAGCACTTAAGTGTGATCCTTTTCCATGCTGCTTTCCAACATTCTTTAGAGACACAAACAAAGCTATTCCTTTTTTTAGACAAAGCACCATTGTACATTCATCAACTCACCGTGTATAGAAAGGGTCCCATTCCTTACTGCCAGAAATTTGGCCCCAAACGGAAAGAAGGTTGGGGTATGAAGGCTTCCATAGAGATGGATATGTGCTTTGCAACAGAAAGGTGCATTTGGAGATCCCACCTGGAGTTTTCCACCATCAGATACCAGAATGTAATGAGCATGGAGTCCTACAGGGCCAGGCCCACCAAACAGGAGCTTGCCACCTACAATGCAACAGAAAATCAATATGCAACTGTCATTCCTAGAGATATTTGATATTTCATATTCAAAGAAACTTCACACAATGGATCTAGATGGATGACATTGGTTACAGTAGGGGACCAGAGCCTTAGACAATTCTCAGCACTACCACAGACTTTCACCGGGGACTCAAGCAAGTACACAGACTGGGATTTGCAAAAACAGATAAGTACTTAGGGCTCTCCCTAAATTTTAATCAGAGTGGGGTGCCCAACCCCTTTGACAAGCCCAACCTTAACCTCTCAGTGTCTCTTCTCTCTAACTGTAAGATAAGGGTGATATTTCTTCCTGGGTATGAATTACCTCTTTAGACTGTAAATGCATTGGGACAGAGAAAAAGAGCTATGGAAGACAGGAGGCGTATCTACACATGTAATTAATGCGGCTGAATGAACTACGTGCGGAGCTAATTAGTCAGCTCCACAGTAGGCGTCTCAATGTAAACATACCCAGGAGCTAGCAAACTGAACAGCATCAGAGGTCACTGGCACCCAGTACTTTCACTTTGATGGCAGCTGGCACTGGATGCATTAGCTATTATAAAAGGACCTTTGTTGTTACCAGAATAACCATCTAATCATTCTTTGAACCTTCCTAAATCCTTGGCCTCAGTGACATCCTGTGGTAATTGGTTCCACCACTCAATTATACATTGTTGGACAAGGCATTTCTCCATTTTGAATTTGCTGCCTTTCTGTTGAATGTCCATGTTGGTGTTGTGTTATATGAACAGATGGGCTGCTGCAACATTTACCTTCTCTGTAGCACTTGATTGTTTATTCCCCCTCTTAAGTCATCTCTCCTTTCAGGGAAACAGCCCTTCACTTTTCTGTCCCCCTTCATATGCCCCAAAGCATTCTCTATTTTTAAGGGGTAGCAATCAAGGTTCAAGTCAGTCCATAACTATTGGAAATTGGGAGGAGACCTCTGTAAGGGCTGGAGCGCTCCACATTTACCTACTATGGAAGTTCTTGTTCCTTACTTTCCTGCAGTTTAAAATAGCACATCCTGCCATTTCAGTACAGAGGTAAAACAAGTATGTCTATGAGTTTAAAACGAGGGGGTGGAAATCACGGCAGACAAAGTGTGCCCTGTACAGCCTGAGATTTTTGGCAGGAGATCAGGGGGCTACTAAGGGTTGGACATTATTGTCTACTTAAAATTAAAGAGAAAAGACAAACCATTTAAATTAATTACTAAAATATGAGACTAGCCTTTAACCTTTGCCTCTGTTTAGCAAGCCCGGCTCAGTGATCTACTGCCAGTATTTTACCAAGGGCTACCCACAAATTTTTCTCCTCCTAGACTATGTTAAATTCCACATACTTGGAGCAGGTGTATTTACTCAGAGCGGGTCTAACAGACTGCCAAAGCTAGTTCTTTATTCCCCCATTTATAGCCACTTGAAGTCAGTGGGACGTCTCAGCATGCAGGATTTTGCAAGCAGGCTAGTGACCCAAAGCATTTTCCCATACCGGTCGCAAATATATTCCAGTTAAGCTCACTTAGCTGGAAACAGTCTTTCTTTGTTCTCACCAACCATACTGAATACATATTGATAGTGCAGCATAGAGTCAAACTTCTCTGGTTCAAAACTGAGACGTCTTCTCTACATGCATTTAAATCAGACTGAAATCAGGTGTATTCCAAATGCAAAACATTTGATATTCAGAAACAGATAGGATTCAGAGGGATGCGGACAACCTTGAGAGGGATCAGAGGAGGGCTACTCGTATGGCTGAGGGCCTGCAGGTAAAACCCTATGAAGACGGACTGAGGGACCTGAATCTCTTCAACCTCTGCAAGAGAAGGCTGAGAGGTGATCTTGTGACTGCCTACGAACTCATTGGGGGGGAGGGGGTCAGCAGGGAATAGGGGATACTCTGTTTACCGGGACACCCCTTGGGATTACCGGAAATAATAGCCACAAACTGAAGGAGAATAGATTTAGATTGGACATATGGAAGACATTCTTTATGGTGAGGGCTGCCAAAATCTGGAATGGGCTTCCAAGGGAGGTGGTGCTTTCCCCTACCTTGGAGGTGTTCAAGAGGAGATTAGACAGGCATCTGGCTGGGGTTACTTGACCCCAGCGCTCTTTCCTGCCTGGAGCGGGGGGTCGGACCCAATAATCTACAAAGTCCCTTCTGACTCTAAAAATCTATGAAATCTATTCATGGTAGAGTTTAAAGACAGAAGGCACAACTGAATCACCTCACACTGGACTTGGCATTTGTAAGAGTGATTGAATTGGTGGGTTCCCATGTATTAAGCCAAATCATTTGTGTTTAAAACGTGCCTTAAAGTAAGGTACACAGTCCTCAAAGATGTGTCAGCCCCTTTCCTTATAGCTGGCTCCAAAGTTTTATCAGCCTCATGGTTAAAAATGGGTATCATCTGATTTGAATTTGTCTGGCAGCAGCTTCCAGTCATTGGTTTGTGGTTCATCCTTTCCCAATGAGGTGGAAGAGCCCTCTAGAACCCAGTGCATTGTCCTTGTGAAGGTACCTGCATCTGCTAATCAATTAGATTTTATTTTTTTTTCCCTTTTAATTAGCTAAACAGATTGAGCTCTTGAAGTTTTTCACTGTTGGGCTTTTTCTCCTAGCCTGCCTGGTTGTTTTCTGCAACTTTTTCAGTCTTCAAATTCTGTTTTTAAAATACTGAACTGGGCACATCAATTCCACGCCTCACACAAAAGATGAGTTCTGTATATTTATGCACTCCTCTCCTGCTTAGACATTCAAGGATTAAGACATTGGGCTGGAAGAGACCTCCACAGGTCATCTAGTCCAACCTCCTCCCTGAGGCAGGATCATCCCTATCCAAACCATCCTATACAGTCCACAATCTAAACTCTACATCAGAGTGAATTAGTTTGTTCTGTCATGTGATTGTATGGGGAGCTCAGGCTGAGTTGCTTGTAGCCAATGACCCTTCACTCTGTTTCAGTATAATACATCCACACCATCAATATGACCTGCATTCCTTGTTTCAAGGGGCATACCTTTACAGGGCTATACAAGAGACCTTTACCATTCGTGGGAGATGTGTTTCAGCGATCCTCACAAATGGGGAAATCCATGAATACTGTACTGCATTGAAAACTTATTTGGGCTTGTAACCCTTTTCCTCAATGATTTTAAGCTGCAGGGGACAATCCCGCGCTAGTTCATGGTCTGCTGATGCCGATTCCCCTATCAACTTCACATTATGTAGACTGTGCCTCCTTTTAAATTTCTTGAACCACCCCTTACTTGCAAAGTGCAGTAACAAAGTGTTATCACGCTGCGCGGGGAGAGACTGTGGGTTGGTGAGGCACACCGCGAATATTCAAAATCGCAAATCCACGAATAGCGAGGGTTTCCTGTATTAAAATGCGTTTTTGTTTAAAGTGCCCAGCTGACAAAGCAATTCAAATCACACTGTAGAGGTACCTTGTCCTCATTGTTATTGAGCATCCTACCAAACTGATTTTCTCTTTAATTTAACATCGTGGATAAACATGGTAAATAACATCCAACTTAGTCCTACTCTTTGCAGACTCATTAGAAATCACTCCATGTGATGATGGCTTCTTGGTGAAGTATGTCATCTACCCAGTTCATACATCCATTTCATGTGTGATTTGTTGATAAGATGTAGTGCTATTTGGTTTTTAATCCAGAATGCCATTTGGTACAGAGTCGTTCACCTTACAAAAGTCTAATTTAAGCCTAGAAAGATTTAAGGAAGGATATTTGTGCCCAAAAGCTTGTCTAATATCTCTCCCAACTATGCAACTGGCCCAATAAAAGATATCACCAAAAAACTCTTGCTCTTCCATATTTCCTGGCCCATCGCTGCTACACAAACACTACAGCCCTACTAATTTAATCCTATGCAGTTATCCTCATAAGACAAACTAGCAATCAGCTCAAAGAATTAAATCAGAAGTGTATGATAAGATATATATTCCATAAAACTACACTGACCGTTTTTAATGATATTCCTATGTTCTTATTGTTTAATAATTAAATATTCTATTGGATTTTCCATTATTTTCTTGAAGATTAGTTTCAGATTCATTGGTCATTACTTATAGAGTCCATTCCCCTACTCCTTTCTGAATATTGGCACAAAGGGCATGTCTACACGTGCATTTAAGTGCAACTAAATTTAATGAAGTGATTTTTCTCAGGTGTTTACACATGCAGGGTCATGGAACTAAAGTTAGTGCACTTGGCTCTAGGCCCTGCCATGTGCCCCTAGTGACAGTGCAGACCTGGCACTAAAGTTAGTGCCAGGTTGCATTAGTGTACTTTAACTGTGACTAAATTTGATATCTGCATTTGCAGTAATCAAATATAGACATAATTAGTCTCATTTTGTCATTTTTAACATGTATCAAGGGCACACACGTGTAGACGTGTGCCCATGATGCACATTAAATTAGGCTAATGTGCATTAACACATCTCAAACAGTAACATTTTTCTAGCCTTCATAAATCTCCTTGAATTTTCAAGATGGTTAAAAATTAATATCAGCCCACCAGACATCTACTCAGCCAACTCTTCAAGGAATTTTGCGTGAAAATAATCCAGACCAGCTAATTTAAAGACACACATCCCTTCATCTACACCTAGCTGAAATTTAGCATCCTAATCTCTTTAGCTTCCTTCCTTTATCATTTTTTTTCACACTTCATGACTTCAAATGTGTGTTGATTGCCAAGAAGTGAACCCAGGTCTCCCCAGCCCAGGGAAATATCCTCTACTTTGGGCTAAAGAAACACACGCCCTACTGTTTGCTCCCCTCTTGCACTCTTGACTGCCCAATAACCCAGCTATAACAAGACAGCAAGAAGAAGGCCTCACCCAAACTAGTCCATGCCTGGCAGTATGTGAGCTTTTATATATGCTTAGGGTGAAGAAGGTCTGTAACTCAGGCTTTAAGCTTCCCAGGTGAGTGGTAGAGTGACAA